GCTGACTTAGGATACTGAGAGAGACGTGTTTTTTGTTTAAGTCTATTATTCCAGAATGCCCAATAAATTAATCCAGGGCGCATAGGCTTTTGCCATGGAGATTGGAACACTAATTAGTCCATTTTGAGGGTTCTTTAAATAGGGATGCATCGTGTTGGTGCCTATATGCGTATGGTGTGGGGCGGACTTGGGATACTGAGAGAGACTTGTTATTGTAAAGTTCATATTTACAGTTGCCCAACAAATTAGCCCCGAGACATAGACTTAGTGTAACACCTTACAATACTAGGGAAATTGTTAATACAGAAGCATGGAGGCTTGAGTGTGCTTTGGATGGAGCCCTACCTGATGGAGTTAGAGGTCAGGTGGGAAAGAATTAATGGGTGATTATGAAATACCAATGTTGGAAGTTCCAAGATAGGTGGCCAGTGAAGATGGGATAATTGTACTCCACATTATGTAGGTCGTCTAGCAACGACCTCACACCCGGCCGGCAGTGTGGGAAAAATTTTTGATTTCTCCGAAGCTATAGTGCCTAATAGGTGTTTAATGGTGTCGTTATGAGTCAAATTTGTATTGACAATGGATAGAATCAAGATTCCCTTTGCGCATGCGCGTATGGCTGAGGTATAGGTCGACTCGCGGCCATGGCGGGCGGAGGGAGAGTTTTGATTGTGGTGGAGGAGGTGGGGAAAGATGGAACCAGGGAATATTGGACATTTCACGGCGGCCTAAGGATTAATATAGGACCTCATGTCATATTAGGAAGTGTCGTAACTGTTCCTGGTGAAGAGTGAGGGAACGTGATTTACGGGACCACCGCTTAAAATAAAGGTGTAAAATTAGTGAATAATGGTTCGACCGGGGCGTGACTGGTGCGCGGGCATGGTGCTGACCAGGGGAAATTCCCGTGTGTTTAATCTCGCTCCATCGGCCAGATCTTAATGGAGTTGACCCTAATGGTATAATAATATGAGACGTTTAGTATAATAATTATGAGACGTTCAAATCGACTCCTGTGAATGGTATGTAATCAGTGATAATAACTGTGGAAATTATTTAATGTTCCGAAGCTATAGTGCATAATAAGTGTTATTGTGTGCTTTGGGTCAAAATGTATTTGTATTTGAATGGAACCAGTCTTGAACAAAAGTTAACAAACAGGAATGACTAACTGTGACAAGACCATCCAAACTGTCATAGATAGCCATACCAACAAATAATACTCTTATACAAAAGGTTGTAGATGCAGTAAAAGACCTGGAGAACAACGTAGATAACCAGTTCAGTGTACTACTTTGCTCTCCAAGAAGTTAAATCTGAACAAGATAAAAACTAATCGGACGCAGTATAGTTAACTGTCCCTCTTTTTCCCAGTGATATGACCTAAACAAAAACTAGTAAAGAAATTACTCGGCAGATCATTATATGACCAAAACAAGTGGTTATTGTACCAGAGTCTGAAATAAAAGATGCCGGTGTCTAGGATTCCATGGTAGAAAAAGTGTTATGCTTAGATTCCACTTCTCATGACAAGCGAAAAAAGAATTAATTATTGGGCATCTAGTAAAGAAAGAGGTATACTTATCGTGTGTCTTACCAAAAAACGTCAGAACCTCCTGTATGGTGTCAGTAAACTTAAGCGGGAGAATACGACACATACACCAATGCTTTACACGAATGGGAAATTCTTTATAGGAAAAAACAAATGTAGGTCAACTGTTACCACAATCTCGAACGGATGATCTATCACGATTTCTCAGCGGTTACTTATTTAACCACCCCGAGAATAACTAAACAATGTCCCAACTTAAATGCCTTACGTAGTGTAGTGTATGTTTTGCCTCCTTTATTGTTTCATATTTCTTTGTGCAACTCTCTTAGTTTTTAAATATATCAATACCTCATTTGTGATTTTACTAGTAAAGGCATAAGTCACCTTATGTGATTTTGTTATTTACTATTGTTCGCTTAAATCATTAGCTGAATTGATACTGTCTCTGTCCATATTTCTACATCATATTTTTTTAAATACTATCAATTGATATTACTTACTAAATTTATATTTTTCATTTTTATAAAATATTCTAGTTTCTCTTAACATTTTGACATTTAATAACCAGTACTTGTCTAATTTACCTTTAACCTGTTTTAATACCAAATTTATAGTCTTGATTACTCTTAATTTCCTTGTACTTGCCATATAACCAAGTATAACTACCAGTGCAATATGAATGAAAATATAAACATTACTTTTTCACTTTTTTGTTATCATTATTTAATTACCTAAATATTTATTATACACCATTTTAATACCTGTTCAGTGTGTTACTGTTGTACATTAACATTATCTTATACTTCCCATAACATTTTGTTGCCAAATTTTCAAGTTTGTATATTCACCCCATCCATTATAATTTTCACCTTTGTACCTGTGTACTGTGTACCTGGGTACTGTCTACCATCTTACTATCATATTATAACCATGACCATTACCATTGTTATTTTTTTTATATTATTCTTTTGGGGGGATACTTAATTGTGGAAGTTTTATTTGGTCAATTTAAATCTAGTTATAATCTTGATCTTGTCAACAACCTATACAGTTCTAGTGCATGCAACTAACATTTTCAATTGTTTTTTTATATTATATGTTTATATTTAATTCCTACCATCTGTCCCATGTAACTTTGCTGTACCATTACTTAATTTAAGTCCCTGATATAATTTCTCCTTTATTTTAGCTTATATAACTACCCTAGTTTATATATTCACAATTGTTAAAATAATCAAGGTGCTATTCTCAGGTGCTAAAGTTGAATTAAGTTCACAATTTTGCCATTATATTCCAATGCTCATTTATTTGATTTCACTTCATTCTTCTCACATCCTATATTAATCCCTTTTATATCGCATAATTTTATTATCTATAATTCTAACTTTAAATAATTAACTTTATAGTATCTTTTTCTTAATTCACAAGCTCATTATTTTGTTCATCAATTTAATTGTATTAGTCCCTTTTATATTGTCTCCTTTATTTTAGCTTAATGTTGTAAAAAAAAAACTTCCTTAGCTCATTTTTTTACATTTGTTAAATAATTTCAGTGCCTATTTTTTGCTTAAGACTTTTTACTTTGGTTTATACTTAATTCTATCTATTGTTTCACGACAATCTTTTATTTACATAAGCTTTGATCCTGTTACCAACCTCGTATTTAATGACTTAAATGATTCAAACAGTTACTGTAATTACTACTATGAGAACAATCAAAGGCACTTCATCAGTGCCAACTTAATCATACTATCTTTAACTACATTTTCAGATCTTGAGTGTTAGAGTGGTTGTATTTTTGTTTAATAAATGTATGAAAGAGGGGAAGGTACCTAGGGATTGGCAGAGAGCATGTATAGTTCCTTTATATAAAAGGAAGGGGGACAAAAGAGATTGTATAATTTATAGAGGAATTAGTTTACTGAGTATACCAGGAAAAGTGTACAGTAGGGTTATTATTGAAAGAATTAGAGGTAAGACAGAGTGTAGGATTGCAGATGAGCAAGGAGGTTTCAGAGTGGGTAGGGGATATGTTTACCTGGAGTTTATCTGGAGAGAGTTCCGGGGGTCAATGCCCCCGCGGCCCGGTCTGTGACCAGGCCTCCTGGTGGATCAGAGCCTAGATCAAGTGTTTACATTGAAGAATATTCTTCTTTCTTTCAACAAACCAGCCGTATCCCACCGAGGCAGGGTGGCCCAGAAAGAAAAACAAAAGTTTCTCTTTTCAAATTTAGTAATTTATACAGGAGAAGGGGTTACTATCCCCTTGCTCCTGGCATTTTAGTTGCCTCTTACAACACTCATGGCTTACGGAGGAAGAATTCTGTTCCACTTCCCCATGGAGATAAGAGGAAATAAACAAGAACAAGAACTAGAAAGAAAATAGCAGAAAACCCAGAGGGGTGTGTATATATATGCTTGTACATGTATGTGTAGTGTGACCTAAGTGTAAGTAGAAGTAGCAAGACGTACCTGAAATCTTGCATGTTTATGAGACAGAAAAAAGACACCAGCAATCCTACCATCATGTAAAACAATTACAGGCTTTTGTTTTACAATCACTTGGCAGGGCAGTGGTACCTCCCTGGGCGGTTGCTGTCTACCAACCTACTACCTAGGATTGAAGCATGTATATACATGTATAGGATGGGGTCCATTGGTGTAAATTGTGGGACCCATAGCCTCGGAGAAGTGGATAAAAAGGTTTCAAGGAAGAATATTTGGATTTCTTCCTGAAGCCGTTTGAATATTCCACTTCCCCTACCACCCCATCTTTTCATATATATTTTTTTTTTTTACCAATAGGAATATTTTTTTTTTTTAATAAGTCGGCCATCTCCCACCAAGGCAGGGTGACCCAAAAAGAAAGAAAATCCCCATAAAGAAAATACTTTCATCAATCAACACTTTCACCTCTCTCACATATAATCACTGTCTGTTTGTTTGTTTATTTATTTATTTATTTATTTATTAATTTGAACATGATACAGACAAGTACAAGGAATACAATTTTTAAAGTGCAGCATGCCAAAGCCCCTTGTATGCAGAGCATTATGGGTAGGCTTAAAATTAACTTAAGATTAACTAAGCAATGATATATTCAATGGTACAAAAATTATTGTAAAACAGATAACAATTTAGTACTGTTTATGCAGAGGTGCTCAGAATACAACAGTTTGGAAGTATATATAGGTACCATCCGACTTATGACCGAGTTTGGTTCCAACAAACCAGTCGTAAGTCAAAATGGACGTAAGTCAAACCTTACTACTGAATATCATCATCACATTTTTGTAATGACTTTATTTTATTGTTTTATTTTGGTATTTCAATTTTTACTTTACTTTTTATGCTGTTAGTACTGTATTTTATACTGTAAGGTTTAGGATAAACACTGTGTAAAACACGAAGAGTTGTTTATTTCCCAGAAATTGGCATAGAAAACATGGTCGTAAGTCGAATGGTTGTATGTCGAACAGGTCGGATGTTGGATGGTAGGTGTACGTATAAAGATATGCAACATATCCCTCCAAACTGCCAATATCCCAAATCCCTCCTTTAAAGTGCACGCATTGTACTCCCATTTCCAGGACTCAAGTCCGGCTATATAAAATAACTGGTTTCCCCTGAATCCCTTGCTAAATATTATCCTGCTCACACTCCAACAGCTCGTCAGGTCCCAAATACCATTCGTCTGCATTCACTCCTATCTAACACGCTCGCACACGCTTGCTGGAAGTCCAAGCCTCTCGCCCACAAAACCTCCTTTACCCCCTCCCTTCAACCCTTTCGATTACAATCCCTACCCCGCCTTCCTTCCCCTACAGATTTATACGCTCTCCATGTCATTCTACTTGGATCCATTCTCTCTAAATGACCAAATCACCTCATATATGTGAACAGTATTTAGATAAAGGTAGGGAAGGTTGCATCTCATTTATGGATTTAGAAAAAGCATATGATAGAGTGGATAGGGGAGCAATGTGGCAGATGTTACAAATATATGAAATACGTGGTAAGTTATTAAATGCTGTAAAGAGTTTTTGATACTGATGATACTGTGCTTATGGGTGATTCTAAAGAAAAATTGCAAAGGCTAGTGGACGAGTTTGGGAGTGTGTGTAAAGATAGAAAGTTGAAAGTGAACATAGAAAAGAGAAAGGTGATGAGGGTTATCAAATGATTTGGATAAAGAAAAATTGGATATCAGATTGGGGAGGAGGAGTATGGAAGAAGTGAATGGTTGCAGATATTTAGGAGTTGATGTGTCAGCGGATGGATTTGTGAAGGATGAGGTTAATCATAGAATTGATGAAGGAAAAAAGGTGAGTGGTGCATTGAGGTATATATGGAGACAAAGAACATTATCTATGGAGGCAAAGAAGGGAATGTATGAAAGTATAGTAGTACCAACACTCTTATATGGGTGTGAAGCTTTGGTTGTAAATGCTGCAGCGAGGAGATGGTTGGAGGCAGTGGAGATGTCCTGTCTAAGGGCAATGTGTGGTGTAAATATTATGCAGAAAATTTGGAGTGTGAAAATTAGGAGAAGGTGTGGAATTAATAAAAGTATTAGTCAGAGGGCTGAAGAGGGGTTGTTGAGGTGGTTTGGTCATTTAGAGAGAATGGATCAAAGTAGAATGACATGGAGAGCACATAAATCTGTAGAGGAAGGAAGGCAGGGTAGGGGTTGTCCTCGAAAAGGTTGGAGGGAGGGGGTAAAGGAGGTTTTGTGGGCGAGGGGCTTGGACTTCCAGCAAGCGTACGTGAGCCTGTTAGATAGGAGTGAATGGAGACAAATGGTATTTGGGACCTGACGAGCTGTTGGAGTGTGAGCAGGGTAATATTTAGTGAAGAGATTCAGGGAAACCGGTTATTTTTATATAGCCGGACTTGAGTCCTGGAAATGGGAAGTACAATGCCTGCATTTTAAAGGAGTGGTTTGGGATATTGGCAGTTTGGAGGGATATGTTGTGTATGTATATCCTTCTAAACTGTTGTATTCTGAGCACCTCTGCAAAAACAGTGATTATGTGTAAGTGAGGTGAAAGTGTTGAATGATGATGAAAGTATTTTTTTCTTTTTGGGGATTTTCTTTCTTTTTGGGTCACCCTGCCTCGGTGGGAGATGGCCGACTTGTTAAAAAAAAAAATGTAATAATACTACTACTACTACTACTATTTTTTTTTTTATTAACACACTGGCCGATTCCCACCAAGGCAGGGCGGCCCGAAAAAGAAAAACTTTCACCATCATTCACTCCATCACTGTCTTGCCAGAAGGGTGCTTTACAGTACAGTTTTTAAACTGCAACATTAACACCCCTCCTTCAGAGTGCAGGCACTGTACTTCCCATCTCCAGGACTCAAGTCCAGCCTGCCGGTTTCCCTGAATCCCTTCATAAATGCTACTTTGCTCACACTCCAACAGCACATGAAGTATAAAAAAACTACTAATACTAATAATATTAATAATGAGAGCTTCAGAACGCCACCAACTCAGTGCATTGTTTACCGCGGTGTTGGAGTATTTCTCTCATGCTTTGCTTACATTTTTTTTGTCATTTGGCCAAATTTCATTTTACTAAGCATGGGTTCTAAGAAAGAAGTGTAAAGGACAGTGCTGGGAAGAAAAAGAGGATGATTTCCATGGAATTAAAGCATGCAATCATAGATAAACAAGCGAAGTGTGCAGGTGTTGGGTTGAGGGGGAAGCAGGGGGAGCTGGCTTGTAACTTGGATGTTGGCTCATAACTCAGAGCAAAAAATCGACCGAGCGACGGCTCATATCTCAAAAACTTGTACGTTGGGACACTCGTAAGTCAAGGTTCCACTGTATAACTAACTGGATTTCTTTGAGAGCACAAGTACAGTACATAGTAAAGATAAAAAAAAAATTAGAAAATGTTACAAATTCAAAGTTTGATGCAAATGAATTATGAAACTTTTTAGAATAATAAGAATACCACCACTATAGAGTTTATATTACACTAAAAGAATAACCATGCTACTTGGGTGTTCATCATAGCCAAATACTGTACAGTATCATTAAAACTGGATTCTGTGAGTTCTTCCTATTAACTGCCTGTAGAGTGGCAGACGTGTGTTGTGATACATGGGACTAGTTAAAAACCATTGATGGATACCACTACGTACTCTATACACTTATGCAGCTGCATTCTTGAATTTTTAGTGTGCATACATTTAAAAAATAGGTACTGTATTCCCTATTTAGATAAAAAGTTTTGCATTTTTCAAAAAAGCAAAAATTTGGACTTCACATTCCCCTTACATTCTCTCTCTACCCTTTCATCCATGCATCTGAATAAACATTTTTTACAAACAGTTTTTGTATGTTATTATGCTCTGAAATAAAATTATTTAATAACTTGCATTTACTGTACAGTACTGTATTTTTAAAAGTAAGCTCAGTGAAAGTGAGTGGTAGCCAAACCTTATGTGGTGAATTTTTAACCAGTTGGTAGACAGCAACTGCCTAGGAAGGTACTACTGCCCTGCCAAGTGAGTGTAAAATGGAAGCCTGTAATTGTTTTACATGATGTTGGGATTGCTGGTGTCTTTTTTTGTCTCATAAGCATACAAGATTTCAGGTATGTCTTGCTACTTCTACTTGTACTTAGGCCACACTACACATGGATGTACAAGTATATGTATACACACCCCTCTGGGTTTTCTTCTATTTTCTTACTAGTTCTTGTTTATTTCCTCTTATCTCCATGGGGAAGTGGAACAGAATTCTTCCTCTGTAAGCCATATGTGTCATAAGAGGCGACTAAAATGCCGGGAGCAAGGGGCTAGTAACCCCTTCTCCTGTATACATTACTAAAGTTAAAAAGAGAAATTTATGTTTTTCTTTTTGAGTTGCCCTGCCTTCAATTCAATTCAATTCAAACTTTATTCTCTATAAGTATTACAATGCTGAGTTTACAGAATTTGGTTATTGTGTGGTTTACATGTAGTAAAATAATAATTACAGAGTGTACCACTAGAACGCCTAGCATAGCTAGGCATTTCGGGCAGACTTATATTAAATCTTAGGTTTAAAATGTTACAGAATTATGAGATAAGTTGGTATTATGGCTAAGTGACTAATACTAGTTGTGAGTTTAGCAATGTGAATGCTTTTTTTTGGCACTATACATAGTGGGATATGGCCAGTTTGTTGAAAGAAGATTCATATTTGGCAATTAACATTTAATGTTTAAGATAAAGATTTTGCTAAAAACATTTAATTAAATGATAACTTTTAAATGATAACCAGTCTCAATCTTGGCACTGTCAATTATGCATATAGGTCACCATACACACGTAAAAATTAAGTGAACAATAGTTTATACAAAAAATGCATTAGCTTAACTTTGTACAGGAGAAAACCCTTTGGCAAGCATTGGAGATGGGATAAATTAAGAATACGCTTGGGAGGAGTGTTATAAGGATGGAGAAGAGTGCCAGGTTTTAACTCAGCTGCTGGGACAAATTGTCCAAATCTTTAATCATTATTTAGTTGTATTAACAGTTATTTATGGAATATCATTTTGAAATAATTAATGTCATTTATTACTGTAGTTCCAAACAGAGTTTCGACGAATCTTGGTTACAATGATAGAGGCCTCAGTCCGCCTTATTAGTGCTGACCCAGAATCTGATGAAGTATTCAACCAGATCCTTGACAAACTAGAACGACGTCACCGCCCTCGTGTTGACCGCACTGCTCTCCGGCAGCTCACTGAAATGGGGTTTCCTGAAGCCAAGGCTACTAAAGCCTGTAACTTTTCAGAATGTCTCAGAAACACAGTATCATCAGCATAAAATGAGCTCCCATTTTGTATTTGATTCCGCATAACTTAATCTCACCCCTCTCCCAAACACCCTAGCATTTACTTCTTTTACAACCCCATCTGTAAATAGGTTAAACAACCATGGTGACATTATGCATCCCTGTCCATAAATTTTACTGGAAAGTAATCTCCCTCTCTCCTGTACACCATAACCTGAGCTTCACTATCCTCATAAAAACTCATTACAGGATTGACGAACTTAATACCTATTCCATACACTTGCAACATCTGCCACATTGCTCCCCTATCCATCCTTTCATGTGCCTTTTCTAAATCTATAAAAGCAAAGAAATCGTCCCTGCCTTTATCTAAATATTGTTCACTTAAATGCTTCAATGTAAACACATGGTCTACACATTCCCTATCGATTGTAAAGCTACCTTGTTCATCTGCGATCCTGCTCTCTGTCTTCTAATTCTTTCACTAATAGCCCTACCATACACTTTACCTGGTATACTTAGTAAGCTTCTTTCTTTCAACACACCGGCCGTATCCCACCGAGGCGGGGTGGCCCAAAAGAAAAAACCAAAGTTTCTCCTTTCAAATTTAGTAATATATACAGGAGAAGGGGTTACTAGCCCCTTGTCCCGGCATTTTAGTCGCCTCTTACAACACGCATGGCCTGCGGAGGAAGAATTCTGTTCCACTTCCCCATGGAGATAAGAGGAAATAAACAAGATCAAGAACTAGAAAGAAAATAGAAGAAAACCCAGAGGGGTATGTATATATACGCTTGTACATGTATGTGTAGTGTGACCTGAGTGTAAATAGAAGTAGCAAGACGTACCTGAAATTTTGCATGTTCATGAGACAGAAAAAAGGACAACAGCAATCCTACCATCATGTAAAACAATTACAGGCTTTCGTTTTACACTCACTTGGCAGGACGGTAGTACAGTGGACCCCCGCATAACGATATTAATCCGTTCATGAGAGCTCATTGTTATGCGAAATGATCGGTATGCGAATGAATTTTCCCCATAAGAAATAATGGAAATCAAATTAATCCGTGCAAGACACCCAAAAGTATGAAAAAAAAAATTTTACCACATGAAATATACATTTTCCTACACACGAAGAGAAGGATACATGCACAATAGTAGAGTAGTACATGCACAATATATATTGTGCATGTACTACTCTACTAAATGAAGAATAAATGACACTTACCTTTATTGAAGATGCAGCAATGACTGATGAGACACTGTGTCCTGGGAGTGCCTTTTCCTCCTGAGTACTGTAGGTCCTGTTTGGCATTTTCTTCCAGAACAGGCCTTATCACACTGTGTATGCCACTACGATTCTTAAATCTCTCAAACCAACCTTTGCTGGCTTTAAATTCACCAATATGAGCACTAGTTCCAGGCATTTTCCCTGTTCACCTGGGTGTTAGTCGACTGGTGTGGGTTGCATCCAGGGAGACAAGATTAAGGACCCCAATGGAAATAAGTTAGACAGTCTTCGATGACACTGACTTTTTTGGGTTATCCTGGGTGGAAAATCCTCTGGGGTTAATTGTTTCTTGGTATATTCTCAATAAGCCACACCAACAACGGTGCTACAGCAGCAGCAGATGATGCTACAGCAGCAGCAGCTGACAGTGCTACAGCAGCAACAGACAATGCTACAGCAGCAACAGACGATGCTACAGCAGCAGCAGACGATGCTACAGCAGCAGCAGACGATGCACAGCTACAGCAACGCAAGCCAGGACGATGCTACAGCAGCAGCAACGTGCTACAGCACAGCATGCCAGCGCACAGCAGCTGACGGTGGTACAGCAGCAACAGACGATGCTACAGCAGCAGCAGATGATGCTACAGCAGCAGCAGAGCGAATGCTACAGCAGCAGCAGCAGCTGACGGTGGTACAGCAGCAGCAGACGATGCTACAGCAGCAGCAGACGATGCTACAGCAGCAACAGACGATGCTACAGCAGCAGCAGACGATGTTACAGCAGCAGCAGCAGCTGACTGGTGGTACAGCAGCAACAGACGATGCTACAGCAGCAACAGACGATGTTACAGCAGCAGCAGACGATGCTACAGCAGCAGCAGCAGCTGACAGTGCAGCAGCAGCAGCAGCTGTACCACCAATAGTAGCGATGGTTGATTGGGGTTTATTATACAACCTGGCCAGCTCGGAGACATGCACTCCACTTTCATACTTATCAATGATCTTTTTCTTCATCTCTATAGTACTTCTCACCCTTATTGCTGTAGGGTTGGCACTACAAGCTTTCTTGGGGCCCATGGTCACTTATTTTCCAGAAAAAGCACCGAAAACACTGTAATAATACGAAATGTTCTGATTGTATGCTTGGATGTTACCGCGGAGGCTGGCTGGTAAACAATGCCACCGGCGGAACATGTGAGCATGGCTCAGGCCGCACATTGGACGCGTCTCGGACGAAAATCGGTGAGCGGGTTTTTAAGCGGTATGCGAGGCAAAATTTTTGCGATTAAAGCAAGCGGTATGCGGATTAATCGTTATGTGATGCCATCGGTATGCGGGGGTCCACTGTACCTCCCTGGGCGGTTGCTGTCTACCAACCTACTACCTAGGACTCAGTAAGCTTATTCCACTATAATTTTTACTCTTTTTGTCCCTCTTCCCTTTATATAAAGGAGTTAGGCACACACACTGCCAGTTCCTAGGTACCTTCCCCTCTTTCATACATTTATTGAACACAAGTACCAACCACTCCAAAATTGAATCCCCACCTGCTTTTAGCATTCCTGTCATGATCCCATCGGTTCCAGCTGCTTTACCCCCTTTCATTATACGCAATGCCTCGTGCATCTTCCCCCCAGTCACATCTAACTCTTCTTTGCTCCTAAAAGATCTTATACCTCCTGGTATAACCCTGCCTCAGTGGGAGACGGCCGACTTGTTAAAATATATAATATATATATATATATATATATATATATATATATTATATATATATATAATATATATATATATATATATATTGCAGTTTGAGGGATATTTGTTATCTTTATATGTGTTGCTTTGCTTTTTTCATAAGCACCTCTGCAAAAACCAGGCAGGGAGTGACCCAAAAATGAAAGAATGAATATGAAAATATTTCATCATCTTGGACATTTCTTTCTTTATTGGGTCACTGCTTTGGAGACGGGCCAGATTTAAAATTAAAGCAAAAAAAAATACACAACATATCTAAATAATATAAATCATTTAAATTAGATTTTATATATAGATAATACTATATGAAATATAATTATCTATTATATAAATATATATCTATATATAATATTATAAAATATATATATATTTTGTTTTTTTCTAACAAGTCGGCCGTCTCCACTCGAGGCAGGCGTGACCCAAAAATGAAAGAAACTCTCCCAAATAGAAAATACTTTCATCATCATTCAACACTTTCCTATACACACACCACATTATCACTGCTTTTGCAGAGTGCTCAGAATCAACAGCTTAGAAGCATATACGTATAAAGTACACAATATATCCCTCCAAACTGCCAATATCCCAAACCCCTCCTTTAAAGTGCAGGCATTGTACTTCCCATTTCCAGGACTCAAGTCCGACTATATGAAAATAACTGGTTTCCCTGAATCCCTTCACTAAATATTACCCTGCTCACACTCCAACAGATCGTCAGGTCCCAAGTATCATTCGTCTCCATTCACTCCTATCTAACACGCTCATGCACGCTTGCTGGAAGTCCAAGCCCCTCGCCCACAAAACCTCCTTTACCCCCTCTCTCCAACCCTTTCGAGGATGACCCCTTCCTCGCCTTCCTTCTCCTATAGATTTATATGCTTTCCATGTCATTCTACTTTGATCCATTCTCTCTTAATGACCAAACCACCTCAACAACCCCTCTTCTGCCCTCTGACTAATACTTTTATTAACTCCACACCTTTTCCTAATTTCCACACTGAATTTTCTGCGTAATATTTACACCACACATTGCCCTTAGACAGGACATCTCCACTGCCTCCAACCGTCTCCTCGCTGCTGCATTTACCACCCAAGCTTCACACCCATATAAGAGTGTTGGTACTACTATACTTTCATACATTCCCTTCTTTGCCTCCATAGATAATGTTTTTTGACTTCACATATACCTCAACGCACCACTCGCCTTTTTTCCCTCATCAATTCTATGATTAACCTCATCCTTCATAAATCCATCCGCCGACACGTCAACTCCCAAGTATCTGAAAACATTCACTTCTTCCATACTCCTCCTCCCCAATTTGATATCCAATTTTTCTTTATCTAAATCATTTGATACCCTCATCACCTTACTCTTTTCTATGTTCACTTTCAACTTTCTACCTTTACACACATTCCCAAACTCATCCACTAACCTTTGCAATTTTTCTTAGACAGGGATGTGTAATGTCACCATGGTTGTTTAATATATTTATAGATGGGGTTGTAAAGGAAGTAAATGCTAGGGTGTTTGGGAGAGGGGTGGGATTAAATTATGGGGAATCAAATTCAAAATGGGAATTGACACAGTTACTTTTTGCTGATGATACTGTGCTTATGGGAGATTCTAAAGAAAAATTGCAAAGGTTAGTGGATGAGTTTGGGAATGTGTGTAAAGGTAGAAAGTTGAAAGTGAACATAGAAAAGAGTAAGGTGATGAGGGTGTCAAATGATTTAGATAAAGAAAAATTGGATATCAAATTGGGGAGGAGGAGTATGGAAGAAGTGAATGTTTTTCAGATACTTGGGAGTTGACGTGTCGGCGGACGGATTTATGAAGGATGAGGTTAATCATAGAATTGATGAGGGAAAAAAGGTGAGTGGTGCGTTGAGGTATATGTGGAGTCAAAAAACGTTATCTATGGAGGCAAAGAAGGGAATGTATGAAAGTATAGTAGTACCAACACTCTTATATGGGTGTGAAGCTTGGGTGGTAAATGCAGCAGCGAGGAGACGGTTGGAGGCAGTGGAGATGTCCTGTTTAAGGGCAATGTGTGGTGTAAATATTATGCAGAAAATTCGGAGTGTGGAAATTAGGAGAAGGTGTGGAGTTAATAAAAGTATTAGTCAGAGGGCAGAAGAGGGGTTGTTGAGGTGGTTTGGTCATTTAGAGAGAATGGATCAAAGTAGAATGACATGGAAAGCATATAAATCTATAGGGGAAGGAAGGCGGGGTAGGGGGCGTCCTCGAAAGGGTTGGAGAGAGGGGGTAAAGGAGGTCTTGTGGGTAAGGGGCTTGGACTTCCAGCAAGCGTGCGTGAGCGTGTTAGATAGGAGTGAATGGAGACGAATGGTACTTGGGACCTGACGATCTGTTGGAGTGTGAGCAGGGTAATATTTAGTGAAGGGATTCAGGGAAACCGGTTATTTTCATATAGTCGGACTTGAGTCCTGGAAATGGGAAGTACAATGCCTGCACTTTAAAGGAGGGGTTTGGGATATTGGCAGTTTGGAGGGATATGTTGTGTATCTTTATATGTGTATGCTTCTAGACTGTTGTATTCTGAGCACCTCTGCAAAAACAGTGATAATGTGCGAGTGTGGTGAAAGTGTTGAATGATGATGAAAGTATTTTCTTTTTGGGGATTTTCTTTCTTTTTTGGGTCACCCTGCCTCGGTGGGAGACGGCCGACTTGTTGAAAAAAAAAAAAAAAAAAATATATGCTTCAATGTAAACACTTGATCTACACATCCCCTACCCACTCTGAAACCTCCTTGCTCATCCGCAATCCTACATTCTGTCTTACCTCTAATTCTTTCAATTATAACCCTACCGTACACTTTTCCTGGTATACTCAGTAAACTTCTTCCTCTATAATTTTTACAGTCTCTTTTGTCCCCTTTCCCTTTATATAAAGGGACTATACATGCTCTTGATGCACTCTAATGCGCATGATTAAAATCATGTATTCAGAATTTAGATATGAATAATAAAATAAAAAAATTAAAAAGTCTTCAGCTGCATCTATAATTTTTTCTTTTTTTTTTTTAGATATGTGCATTCATTGTTTTCTTTAATATTAATATTTAATTATAGAAATGTCATGGAGGCAATGGAATGGCTTTTAGATCAAGGTAACATGGAAGATGGCGGAACTGACAGTATAATTGGGGTCAACAGTGGAAGCAGCACTGAAAGTAGAGAAAACATGGCCTCTGACCTCATGGCCTCCAACAATGTAGTTAATGACCATCCTCAAGACCCAGCAGAGAAAGTTCTTAATACATTTCTTCAGTACAGAAAGAAGTGGTTCCAGGTTAGTGTTCTCCACTTAATTGTATACAATTAAGCACTGCTGAATTGTACACAAGTATCCTTAACCCTTTGAGGGTCGACAGGCCCTCTCCGAAACTCGTTCTCAGGGTCGGCCAAATTTCAAAAAAAAAAAAAATTATTTTTTCTTATGAAAAAATAGAGTATTTTTTTCTAAACATTATAGGCTAAACAAAAAAATTTTAACGTCAATACTTACCGAGATATGGAGGTGTGAAATTTGCCAAAATTGAACAACATATGGTAACATCGCCGACTGCCGTCACCCGGTATTTTTCTATTTACTTTTTTATGTACTATTTTCAATTATTTTTCAATTTTTCTTTTTCTGAGTAACTTTTATGGCCTCTGAGGCCAACATGATCAGTATTTTGTAAGTTATTTCTTTTTCAATACTACACAATAAGGGCGTAAACACTGTTGTCATTATTTTGTTTACAGAAAATATTTACACAAACAAACAATATGAAATGTTGTTTATTACTATTTTTCTATATTTTATATACACATATACAGTCACAGGGAATGTTTCTAGAAGTTCTGCAGCCTGTTGGAACTCTTTGAAACATGGTGTCATGCACAGTGGAGTTTTGCACTCCTCACACATAAAACGAGTGTCTCTGCGTTGTTGTGGGCGTTTTTTTGTATGTGAACAGACGTAACACCTCTTCTGAGCCTTTTTCTTCAAAGCAGTAGCAGGCAGTTTTACCAGGAAGTTATCACCATGCTTCAGACGAGCAGGTAGTTGTTGATAATTTGGTGGGCGGTCAATTGCAGGTGCTGTTCCTTGGTACTTGAATACTATTTGTCTGATGACAGACAAACAGAATTCGCCGTACTGTGGTTTGTTTCTGGTGCTCATCTTATACATATTATAAGCATTGAGCATGGAAATGTCCAGAAGATGGAAAAACAGTTTGATGTACCACTTATAACTCTTGCGAACACAATCAGCAAACCCAATCTGCATGTCACATTTGTCCACTGAACGCATGTTGAAGGTGTAATCAATCACAGCTGCAGGTTTTAGAATGGGTTCATTTCTCTCTCTATGCTGCCTGCCACTGTCTGCCATTTCATTAGGGTGAATTGATGACAACAGTGTGACATCTCGTTTGTCATGCCACCGAAATGCCATGATGTCATTGGCAGCAAACGCCTGCACCTCACCTCTACAAGTGCCAGCGTCGAACCTGGGCATATGTTTTCGATTTACACGCACTGTGCCACACACATCTGTCATGTTCACTCGCAAAAAATCACTGAGTGAGGGGCTTGTGTACCAGTTATCTGTATATAATATATGCCCCTTACCAAGGTATGGTTCTATCATTGTTCGAACCACATCACCTGAGATGCCCAATAACTTCCTGGTATTTTGCAATGTATAACTTCCAGTGTACACAATAATATCCAATACCAGACCACTGTAACAATCACAAAGCACAAACAACTTTATACCAAAGCATTTCCTCTTGCTTGGTATGTACTGCTTGAAAGAGAGTCTTCCTTTGAACAGAATCAAAGACTCGTCAATTACAAGCTTCCTGAAGGGATAAAAATGCGTACTGAATTTCTGTTTCAGATACACAAACACATTCCTAATCTTATATAACCTGTCAGTTCTGTCAGGCCTGGTTTTATCTGAGAAGTGAAGCATACGTAACATTAGCACAAATCGATTCACTGGCATTATATCACTGAAACCTGGTGTTGCAATCAGGGGGTCTGTTGACCAGTATGATTTCACTTTGTGCTTATACACATGTGGCATAAGCATTATTGTGGCAAAGAAAAGATACATCTCAGCCACAGTTGCCTCCTTCCACTGGTGTAGACGTGATTTTGGTGAAAGTAATGTGTTTGCCATGGTGTACTCGTAGTATGTGTTGCTTTCCATGACAATACTTTTCATCAGTGGTTCGTCAAAGAATAACTCGAAACATTCCAGTTCAGTGGCATTGTTCCCAAGTGCACAAGATGGCCGTATTCCACTTTGGCTGCCATCAAACTGGTGGGGATTTGGAACAAAATTGACAGCTTCCTGCCAATCCCAGGTGCGGTCTGCTGGTGGGTACTGGACAATGACAGGTGGTTGTGGTTGTGGAGGTTGTGGTTGTGGAGGTTGTGGTTGTGGAGGCTGGTGTGGTGGGGGAGTGGGGGATGGTGGCCTTTGTTCTAGATCAGCTGAGGCAGCGGCGTGGGTGGCAGCGTGGGTGCAGCATCGCCCACTGCTGGTGCCTCCCCCGCCGGCACCACTACCACCACGCACATTTTCCATCCCAATTGCAACAGTATCTTCGTCATTTTCACTGTCTGTTCCTGTTGTACAGCCACAGGATGTACTCCGAGATACACTCCTTCCCCTTGGAATAGCATATGGCACACTTCCAGAGCGCATATATCGTCGTATATACTGACGCTTCACTGGGGAATATTGCACTTCACTATCACTACTGGAACTAGTTTGAAGAGCTTGTAGTTCATATTCACTATCACTATCATCAACCCATGCTCTCATCTGAGTCTGGGATTTGGGAAAATAGAAGTTTCCTCTTGGGTTCTGGAACAACTGAACGTGAACACGAGGGCCAGCACCAGAGGTGGAAGGCTGAGGGTCGTCTGGGTTTCTTCACTATTACCGATATTATGGTCATTAGTTTCGGTCAAAACCTCACTAAAACCACGAAACTCATCTTCACTGGCACTTCCATCACTAAATTAGAACTGTCATGGGGAACAAAAGTGTCCCAATTCGCCGAGGAGTGAGGAGCTTCTTACCGCGAGGCATGGTGGACATTGTTTACTAAGAGGGCATTCCCACAATGCACCACTGGGTCCCAGATTTTTTTTCTACCGCGCACACCGACCACGCAGACCCATTCTCTCACACCTAGGCCTACCAGCCTTTTCGCGCGAGATTTGAGGCCGCTAGAATTTATGCGTACTAGTACGTCAAAAACCCCTACGCGTAAGACGTACTAGTACGACGAAAACCCTCAAAGGGTTAATTTTTTCTTCTCTTGATTGATTTTCCAGGTCTTCTTTACTTCTGGAAAACTTGGGGTTTCTCTAATTGCTGAATTTAAAGATGGATTTTGGGGGTTCATCTTACACCCTACTACCCATACTGCCTAAGCTTTATTAAAAGTGCCAAGGAGAAAACGCACAAATTTTGTATTGACACTGCTACAGCAATTTTGTACTTATTACTTTTGTTTGTCTTCTCAAGATAGTATTTCTACCTGTATGTACATGCTGGTGATTGATAAGCAAGCTACATATGTAAATAAAGATAAGGTTTAGTCTGCCCGAAATGCCCCGGCATGATAGTGGCTTTCTTTGTACTTAACAAATTAGAATTGTAATCACTGCAGAGTAATAAATAAATCTTTAAAATTTTTAAATCTTTAAGATGAAGAAAGACCATTAGACCCTGGTTCAATGGGTGTTCAGTTATCCTTCTGAACGTTAGCCAGAAGTGAGGGGTTGAAAGGTTGATTTGAAAATGGTAGGATAAGAGGACAAGGAGGCTTTAGAGTGGGTAGGGGATGTGAAAGTGTTCAGTGATGAAAGTATTTTCTTTTTGGGGATTTTTTCTTTCTTTTTGGGTCACCCTGCCTTGGTGGGAGATGGCCAATTTGTTGGAGAAAAAAAAAAAAAAAGAGAGAGAGGACAGGCAGCTTTGATATCCAGCCTGCAGATATTTCTGTATGGGTTGAATTTAGGAATACGATGCTTATTGATATGAAACATCACGTGCAACTTTCATTATTTAAAAAGACAGCACCAATACCCTCAGTGGATCAAGACACTAAATGAGAAGGCTGCTCAGCAGTGTTCAGTAATAGGTGCACGACTCGTATAGGTTTAATGCATTTTTTGTGCTTACTGTATAATTGAATTAAGAGCTTGATGCCTGTATTTCCATGGCAGTAAAATATGTACTCTATATGTATATTCAATTAGATTACCTTTAACCCTTTGACTGTTTCGGTCATATATATATGTCTTACAGTGATTATGTGTGAGTGAGGTGAAAGTGTTGAATGGTGATGAAAGTATTTTCTTTTTGGGGATTTTCTTTCTTTTTGGGTCACCCTGCCTTGGTGGGAGACGGCCGACTTGTTAAAAAAAAAAAATATACGTCGTACGAGCCATTGTGTTTGACGTATATATACTCAAAAATTCTAGTGGCTTCAAATCAAACAGGAGAAAGCTGGTAGGCCCACATGTGAGAGAATGGGTCTGTGTGATCAGTGTGCACAATATAAAAGAAAATCCTGCAGCACACAATGCATAATGAGAAAAAAAAACTCCGACTGTGTTTTTGGATTAAAACGCCGACTTTGAGGTGTATTTTCATATAGTTTTTATGGTTATATTCTCATTTTTGTAGTCACATTCGATAGAATGGAAAACATATTATAGAAATAGAGGTGATTTTGATGGGTTTTACTATGAAAAGGACCTTGAAATGGAGCTCAAAGTAGGGGAAATGTTTGACTTTTGCTGATGTTCAAGAGTAAACAGATGTCATTGTCCAATAAATGTCCAACTAGTTATTCTGATATGCAGTCATGATTGGGTTGATATTATTTATACAAGTATTGCAATATTCCAGTAGTCTGCATAACAGTAAATCTTCTAATTTTTGTTTGAATAAAAATTCAAAATAGAAAGCAAAAGTAACATCAGAGGGGCCTGGAGATGTGACTAATGAACAAAGAAAATGTTATTTTAGAGCCAGAAATGTCAGTATTGCTCATTCTGGACCCTATTTTGAAATTGGCATATTTTTTAATTTGCATGAAATTGGCCAAATTGCCAATTTCTGACCACTTTATTGGATAGTTGAAATCGGTAAATGGGCAGCTTCTTGTACTCAATCGATAGAACAAATGGAATTCTAAAGAAATAGTTATGAGTTTGGTCGAATGGAACAATGGAATTAGGTGAAAATAGGGCTCAAAGTGGGCGAAA